CAGATGCTTTTAGTGAAGATACCTATCACTAATTTTACTAACTGCACATTTACAAATTGTTTCTCTAAATAAACTTTTTATATGCAATAAAATGATTTTTAGTATTTTTTTTTTAACAAGTGTGTTAAAAAACGTTGTATGATGATACTTGTGTGTATTGATGATAATCACCAACATTACACACTTTTACACTATAAAGTACTATTTTATATATAATAATTTTATTCTGATTCAATTAAATATGCTTGGCTAAACTTTTAATGAGCATAGGTACCTACTATATATAAAACATAAACAAAATACGACTGTATAGTGTGTCTTATTAATTACCTATTTTACTTGAATGAACTGCTAGTATCAAAATCATTTTGGTCAGACTGTATAGGGTTGCTACATGCATACTAGTGGCGCCATCATTTAATGTCACGACTTTATAGACCAACTGTAGATATGTGAGCTAATAATAGTGCATGACTATTAGTAATGCGGAGATGAGCGGAATTGAAGAGCTAGATTCCGATTAATGTTTTTTCTCTCACAATCTTAATAAATAAATGTTATTAAAAATCCGTTTTTTTTTTCAAATTTACTAAATAAATTTTATTAAAAATTCTTATGTTTTTTCTCACTTAATCTTAGTAAATAAGTTTTATTAAATAAAGCTTTTTTTTGCTTACTGTACCTATTTGGTTCGAATTGACAGCTATGACTTAACAATATGGAGCCCAGTCGGTCCTATTCTTAGTTGAACGGCATTATAAATGTACCTTTCCACTTATTATTATCAACGTCGTATTAATTATTAATTTATATTTTTTTTAAACCAACCAAACCCATATCAAACCCTAACAATAAGCTTAAAACGTATCTATAGCAATCATTTACCTAATTATTGATCCCAATTATTCACATTTAAATTTAGAGAGTGCTTCTCGCGCGTTTCGGGATCAGCCAGCGTACAACCAGAGCTCGAGTGGAAGTTGTCGCGAAGGATTCGGTCCAGGGGAGGCATCCGTGGAACCGATGCCGGGAGGACTGCATCTTCCCGTCGGCCAGGGAGACCCGTAGAAACAGCTGTCCCGCTGGCCGCCCGTGGCACAGTACAGGGGCCCAAGCGTTCCTAACCAGTTCGCGAGGCTGCCCCATCATGTCACGCATAATCTCGGGGTGGACCGTCGTGCCGGTTGGTGACCGGGGCGTGGGGTCACTCCCGGGGGGGTGCGGGGGCCCTTCCGTCCGGCGGGTCGGCGCATCTCCTCTGCAGGCAGTCAATCGGGAAAACAGACCTCCCTTATTTGCCCGGACTCTTCGCGACGGCGTCTGCTCGTTTTCGCGTCTCTTTTTTTTTCACTTCCACCGTGGCAGCCTCAATTACAAAGTTTGGACGTACAGCGGTGCACACCCCCACGCCTTCAACGCTGTTTGAGGTCGAGTTCTGCAATATACGCGGGCTCCACTCTAACCTCAACGCTGTCCACCACCATCTCGAGACAGCACGGCCAGCATTGTTGTTCCTGACGGAGACACAAATACTTCCGCCTGCTGACACAGGCTGGCTACCTTAATTATCCCGGCTACGTGCTTGAAGAGTCCTTCAAAGCGAAAGCCGGTGTATGCCTGTATGTTCGGGCGGATGTTTGTTGTCGCCGTCTCCGCTGCTTGGAAGATCTCTCCTTCTCCATGCTGGGGGTACACGTCGACTCTGGCCCCCTGGCCAGAGTCTACGTGTGCCTCTACAGATCCCACACCGGCGATGTTGAGACAACTCGCCTTTTTGAGCACCTTAGTCGGGCAGCAGATGACGCGCAGGAACAATTTCCCAACGCAGAATTGGTGTTTTTGGGGGACTTTAATGCTCACCACAATTTGTGGTTAAGTTCTTCCAAAACTGACCATGCAGGGATCTCTGCTCACACATTCGCTCTCACGCATGACTTGAAGCAACTGGTTGATCAGCCCACCAGGATCCCAGATATTCCAAGCCAAGCGCCTTCTTTACTGGACCTTCTGCTCACGACCCATCCACAGGGCTATCAGGTTGTGGTAAGAGCCCCCCTGGGCTCGTCCGACCACTGCCTGATATCTGCCAAAGCACCACAGGCCAAGCCTCCGCGTCCAGCAGTGGTCAAGCGCCGTATCTGGCATTATGGGTCGGCAGATTGGGACGGTATGCGTGATTACTTTGCGTCCGTCCCTTGGAAGCAGCGCTGCTTCAGTGACAAGGACCTATCGGGCAGAGCCGTTGCCATTACTGAGGAGATTATAATGGGTATGGAATACTATATTCCTCATTCTGATCTCATCAGTAAGGGCACACGTAACCTCTGGTTCAATCACGACTGTGCTGAAGCTGCTTCGCGTAAGCAAGCGGCATATCGTGATTGGATCAGAGGCCACGCTCTCAAGGATCCCGGGGTCGATTCACTCAAAGCAGCCTACAATTCTGCTTCCAAGGCCTGTAAGAAGGCTTACATCAGAGCGGATGCCCAGCGTGTTGCACGTGTTGGCCAGGAACTTATTACGCATCCTGCGCGCTCCCGTAGCTACTGGCGTTTGGCCAAGGCCGTGCAAAATAACTTCTGCCAGCCCTCGCTGCCACCTCTGAGATGCCCAGACGGAACACTAGCTCATAAGCCGCAGGAGAAAGCCGATTTACTGGCAAAACTCTTTGCGGCTAACTCCCAAATCGATGATTGCAATGCACTGCCACCAGCATTACCTCACTATGGCACAACGATGCCTGATATTAAAATCAGGCAGCGTGAAGTTCGTGCCGAATTGCAATCACTCGACGTCCGGAAAGCTAGTGGAACTGATGGCATCCCAGCAGTTGTGCTTAAAAAATGTGCAGCGGAGTTGTCTCCCGTGCTCACGCGCTTGTACCAATGCTCGTATTCTTTGGGGCGTGTGCCGGAGACTTGGAGAGATGCTAACGTGCAACCGGTGCCCAAAAAAGGGGATCGCTCAGACCCGGCAAACTACCGGCCAATAGCAGTCACCTCAGTTTTATGTAAAGTTCTAGAAAGGGTCCTTAATAACCATCTGACCCGCTACCTAGAGGATCACTCCCTGATTAATGATCGTCAATATGGATTTAGACCGAAACGATCGACGGGTGATCTTCTAGCGTACTTAACTCATATCTGGGGTGAGGCTATCGACAAGCGTGGCGAGTCGTTGGCTATCAGCCTTGACATTGCCAAGGCGTTCGACAGGGTCTGGCACAAAAGCCTTCTCTCCAAGCTTCCGGCATACGGTCTGCCAGCCCAGTTCTGTTCTTGGGTGGCTGACTTCCTGCATAAGCGTAGAATTCGTGTCCTTACGGATGGTAGCAGTTCGCGGTTCATGTCAGTGAATGCCGGCGTTCCCCGGGGCTCCGTCCTGTCCCCCACTCTCTTTCTGCTGCATATCAATGACTTGATTCCTCTTGGGAATATTCATTGCTATGCAGACGATAGTACAGTGCATGCGGGGTATCTCGGACAAGCAGCGGCTGGGCAGGCAGTAACCAAGGAGAAACGGGAAAATCTTGTCATTGAACATCAGGCTTTGGACCACATTTCCGAATGGGGTACCAGGAGCTTAGTTGGGTTCAATGCCAAGAAAACTCAGGCTTGCGCTTTCACGGCAAAAACATCGCCATTCCTTCCCCTTCCATCTCTTCAGGGCACAACACTACCGCTGCAGAGCAACATTTCCATGCTCGGTATGGAAGTTCGCTCAGACCTGAATCCAAAGGACTACATCGAAACCGTGATCAAAACAGCTTCACGCAAACTCGGAGTCCTGAACAAGGTGCGGCGTTTTTTCACGCCCGATGAACTGTGCTTGTTGTACAAAACGCAAGTGCGGTCCTGCGTGGAATATTGCTCGCACCTCTGGGATGGCTCCGCCAAGTACTTGCTCGATGCTTTGGATAGGTTACAGCGGCGCGCGATCCGCATCATAGGCGATGAGAAGGTGCCTAAACACCTTGAGCCTCTTCAATTACGCCGTGACGTGGCGTCACTAAGCGCGTTCTATCGTTTGTACCACGGCGAGTGTTCTGAGGAGTTATTCTCTCTTATCCCACCTTCCCCTTTCCTTCAGAGGACCACGCGCGCTGGCCTACGTTGTCACCGTTTTACTGTGGCCACAATTCCAACGCGTACAAAAAAATTTGGTGACTCATTTCTTTGTCGCACTATCCGTAAATGGAATGCTCTGCCCGCTCACGTGTTCCCTCCCTCTTACAACCTGGGATCCTTTAAAAGAGGCGTGAAGAAGCAACATGCAGGCCGGCAGGGTGAGGATGGCTGGTGTGGCAGGTAGAACTGCTGTATCAGCTATGTTCGCATCTGGACTTCACCTTCACTTAACATCAGGTGGGGTGGAGTCATTTGTCGGACCTATCTATAAAAAAAAAAATTTTTGAGAGGACCACCGTAGATCCTTCGTAAATTTAGTGTGACGTTTCTAATTTTAGTGAACATATGACATTTAGAATGCGTTTCAGAATACCAGTTATCATCTAAATCTGAGTAGAATGACTTTAATTTACTTCAGAATTTAGAAGTAGAGTCCTACTGAATCGTGACATTAAACCTTATTTAATACGCAAAGAAGCGGAGTCATTAAAATAAGCTTTAGATCCATAACGAATAAGAATACATCATTCGCGATATTATATTTCGTTTTCTGGCACTTTGAAAGTATAAGTAAAATGCTGCGGCACTGCTGCCCACAAACAAAGGCAACGTAAGAGTAACGAACATCCATAAAAAACTTTTGCATTATTTTATAATATATCATATTATGTAGAATTGTATAAAATACAAAACCAAACTTTTTGAAATAAAATTAAATTTCTGGTTATTTTTTTGATGCAAACAAAACCTATTGTATGGTGGTTTCATTAAATAACAGACTAAAAACAAGTTTATTTTTGTTCATGGGGTAATTATTTTTATCGGTTGGCCTCTTCGTAATGTCATTTATGTCAAAAGTTGGCACGTCACTGTCGAATCGATTTCCTCTTCCTTTCTTCATTCTTCAGCGAAGCTTAACGCCCGTCAGCTGTGTGCTCGCTCGGATTGAACGTCAAGTCAGAGTTGGCTTTGGCCTGGTCTCTCAGCCCTTTACTGCTATTATTTTTCTACTGCTAAGTGTAATCAATTAGGATAACTTTTATGAACGTTACGATTGCCCCAAATTAAACAGCTTAAATTTCGCATAGGTACCAATTAATTTAAGACTGTAAATTTCGTCATATATTTAAAGGCAATTTGTGGATAAATATATGACACTAGCTTAATTAATTGTTAAGTGATATAAATTTAGAACAAAAACTTCTAAGAACTAAGTGATTCTCCGTGAATTTTAATTCTACCACGCTGCCATTATGCGCCGCCATTTTGTATCGGCCGCTCAGGGCGTGGCACACTATTAGCAGTCCTGTTGTGATTCATGACCAAGCATATTTTATTACAATGGTAAGTTAACTTTCGTACTTTGTATTTTTATTATTTACCCAAAAATTGTTGTTGGTTTTTAGACCAGTACTACTTGAGTTTACGCTGATAAATTAGTAAAACCCCTTTCCTAACCCAGTAAGGGTTAGGAAAGGGGTTTACAATTATAGGATAGTATTATTTAAGATCTTTGGATTTGGTAAGAAAAAATATATATTATGTAACCCAGTGGTAGATAGGTACGTAGTGTATAATATCCAAGTATTATGCCCGCCATTTTGATTACTAGCGTAAATATTTTAAAAACTGGGTTGCGCTACCGACTTTCGAATGAATTAAATCTAAAACTACTATCTAATTCATATCTTGGCTTAGGTACTAAATACCTAACACATATCAAAGCAATGTATTTTGAACTAGGTAGGTCCACGAAATTAAACCGAGGTCATCAATATTGCGTTGAAAGTTAGCTTATTAATAGACATGAGTCATGACGTAGTAGGTTAAATGAACAGCCTCAAATATCTTGGCAATGGTGAAATCTAATTATTTTTTGTTTTCCCTACAATTATAGTTTTTTTCTATTCGTCCCGGTTGGGACTGGCAAAGGAAGTACCTAAACGCGTTACTGCAGGAAAATAACCCTAATAAACCGCGAGGTACAGCTAGTGTTGCATCATATGAAAAAGTTACGAGTATTATTTTTTATTGTTTGTTATAAGTCGACAGAGAGATTACGATGCATCCGCTGAGAATTTTAAAGTTGCGTAAAATGCACTATACTTTAGCGCAATAGAATAGCGTTATTTCGACACACCTTAGCGTCAGTACACGTAGATCTAGATAAACGTCAAATGTGTACTGTGTTGTAGTTCTCGTTACGTCCGTTGTGGCGCACTGTTCAAGTTTTCGTATAAAATTTGACTTTGACGTTTCGCTCTCGTAAACTATTCGACTTCCATATTGGTTCGTGCTAAGGGTACAGGTTCACATCGAGACGGTCAGCGATCTCGCACTGCGCCGCGCGACGCCGCAAGTAGGGCTTGGTATTCGAATATTCTGAATAACAAAATAATCACAAATTAGACAACTGATAAGTTTTTCCAAAAGTCCCCTACTAAAACTGATGTTCTTAATGGTTTACGTGGCTCTAAATTGCTATAAAAATTAATTCTTTTGGATAATAAAACTAGATAGAGCAGCTTAGCTGATATGGCTACAAGGTATTTAGAACTCTTGAGATGAAGTGATGAAGGCATTAATTCACCTAAAATAGATATAAAATTGTGACAGTTGTAGAAATGCAACCATTATAGATCTCTCCAACTCGCTCAACATAGTGAAAGTAATAGCTTAACCACTTTTATGAATAAAAAGCGAACCGGTTGACATCTGAAACGGCTCTAAAGTTTATGATTGATAACCAAGTTCTGAAAATAATAACACAATAAGCTGTTAACTATGCTACTAAATCAACAACAACTAATATATTATAATGAATTCTTTAGAATTGATAGAAACCTTAAAATATCTACATAATAAAAACCATAATCATAATAAAATATTACCAAGAACCTCTTTAAGGGCCGATTGTTCAATCTTCAAATAAAAAGTCAAATAACTATCCAGCGAATAAAGTTGTCTGTCTGTTTATTTGACGTATAACTAATCTCCTATTTTTAATGTCTTTTTATTCCTTCTTTATCTTGGAACATCAACTCTGCTGAAAACACTGCTTATACACTAAAGGAAAAAAAACCTTTTTTTATTCCTAAATTCCTCTGCTGTGTTACCACCAAATGATTGATTGATATAATTCTAGGAAATCTGGCTATTTTATAAAATTCTTCCTGAGTCCTTTTAATATCTTCATCCTATCTGATGGTTGAAGCGGCGGATAAATTTATCCCTCAGTTAGCAGATTCGACAGTTAAGTCTTATCCAACTGTTGAAAAACTTGAAACCTTGCTATCTGTTTATCTGAAGATTGAACAATCGGCCCTTAATCTACTTTTCCTCATCCCTCAAATTAAACAATTGTTAAAACAATAGTCCACAGCAGTAACACTGATTGTGTTACTGATGTATTTACATACTTTTTTGATATTAAGAGATGAAAATTAAGTAATTATTTTCTTAGTAATAAAATGAACAAAACCAAAGAATTAATCATAATTAACAAAATAGAATAAAACCATGCACACCTCATTTTAACTATACATGTTAGTCAAAGGTGTCAATTCTGGCATGATTCACTTAACTTAAAACTAAATTCTCTTTTTCATTCTGGTTAAAGAATGACAAGGATGTACTGTGTCAAAATTAAGTTTGGGTTTAGAGAATCATAAACTACAATTTTAAAATAATTAACATTTATCCTTTATAACTGGAGAGTCTGCAGAACTTAAGTATTCATTTTCAGTCTGCGTTAGTATGGCCATATCTCTCATTATCGTTCCCAACTGCAATGGCTACCAATTTCTCATAGAAGACTCTTGATTCTATCACTCCTTTCTTCTATCCTCTTTCATCCACTCTCCTCTTGAGGAGTAGTTACAAAATTACGAATACCTTGTGTCAAATACTGTTAAATTTACGTTTCAAATCCCAACGGTGCTAAAGAAGTTTTCACTTAAAAACTCAAAAGTTAATTAAAAACAGAAATTCTTTATAAAATATGTTAAACAGGAATGATTACAGTTAATTGATAAATTGGACATTTATTTTGCAAAACGTCATAAAATTAGTTTGAAATATGAAACAGCCTCAAATTTTACAAAGTAAAACAGATAAACTAAATAACTTAGTGTCTCTCAAGTGTAACCAAAGTATATGAATTAGCAGAACGCGAAATGAATAAACACACGATTGCCATGAATGAGTTAATAGATTTATGTAATTACAATAATGGAAGATACAGTTCACCAACTAATAATCACACATAGAATTGTAAACAGTTCGTTACTCAATCATCGCTCAATTTTGATTATCTTCTTTTTATCAAACAAAAGTGAGATCATCAGATTAAAGTCCAGGTTTACTTTAGTCATGCAATTTTGGATCAAGGCCGTCGCTATTAGTTTGCATCATTCTGCATATAGTCTAAGAGCCCACGACACTAAACCTAGTTCGATAAGACTACCGGATGAGATACATATAATTAGTCACGTTATTAATGGGGGAACACGAAATGGCGATGCTGAAATGCAAAAAACCTGGCGGAGACATAAAAAAAAAAAAAATATTAAAAAATCCGGTTTCTAGTACGATAAGACTCCCAATTTTTATTTGTTCCTCGTAATAGAGGAGTGATAGGACTATACGATAATGCAGTGCTGCAAGCCCCGCTGATTGGTCTAATCAGTGGCAGCAGCATGATAAGCGATTCCTCGTATCTAGGTATCTAGTATGATCGATCTCCTCGAAAAATCAAAGCTCATCCGAAAGGTTATCAATTTCTGTGTGAGAAAAACCACTGCTGCATTTTCCAAACAGTGGAGAAAGTGGTTGCTGCAGCGATTGAAGGTCGCCGTCCGCGCGGCTGCAGCCGGCGTTTCAATTTCGTTTTGTCAGCAACCGACCGGTTCCTCTCAATTTTTACCGGTCAAATACGCGTCCCACGGTCACATACGTGTCGTTGACTGTTTAAATAAATTAAATTTAACAAATAAGATTCTATTAATTATTCCAAGCTTCCAGATTTTCCAGCCCTTTTTTGGATATTTATTATTTCGTGTGGCACGTAAAAATCTCTTCCGCTTTATTTTTTAATCAAACCATGATACGTACTTATCATCGTGGAAATCGTGTGAACGAATGGAGAGCTCTGTACCCGAGACATGAAGATTTCTTGGCTATTTATTTCTAGCAGAAATCAAGTCGTCGATAGTACATATTGTGATCTTCCAGCTGTCCTATTATATTCACATCTATCTATTCGAAAAAAAAAAACGGGGACTATACGAAGGGTCTAGAGTTTATACCTGCTCAGTCTTGTTGTGGAAACCGTCAGTAACGGTCGGTCTTTTCGCTGTCGGTATTTTAAAATTCGACGCATGGTATTAAATTCGTGAAAAATGCGTTGTTTCGTCTGCAAAAAAACGGGGAACTTGACCGATTTTGATGAGCGTATGTTAAATAAATGTTTAACAATTATTGCATTCCGGAAAAAAAAGTGTCTGAAATACGGCGACTCGCCATTAACCCGTGAGAATAGTGAGAATTATGGTTTTCATTATGGGTGCTACAGAAAATTCTGTTTTGCGACGGAAAGACCAGGAAGAATTAAACGCACTGTTTCCTTCGAATGCAAGTGTGAGTATAAAAAATATTATATGTATGAATAATGAAATAGCAGGCTCCAAAATCTCGTTTCGCTCATCTTTCGTGTGTCATATGCTGTTTACACGTTACAGTCCGACACATCTGCCTGTACCAAGGAACGCGACCCTGTAGAAAGAGACAGTCTAGAAACTTCGACGGCTCACAGAGACGAAGATGATTCAGCTGCTCGAAGGAATGATGTACCGGCGGTGAGTTTTTTTTATTTCAAGGGCAATATTTAGTACGAAAGTAGGCAAAACTCTGTCTACTAGAATCAAACATTTCGAGTTCGTGTATATAACTAGTAAATACTAAAATAGCATTTTTCAAGTTTCTACAATAATTCGCTGCTGCGCGTAAATTGACCGCCGTGATTGATAATAATTTTCAAAAGAAAATGCAAATTTCTTTTCTCATTGTATCATTTGCGTGACTTCTTCGATAAGTCTTGATATTTCTGCTATTTTTGGTTATGAATGGTTATAAAAGACATTCGTCTTTTATATTTATTTATAAATATTCATTTTAAAATATTTATTTCATTTATTTATTCATTTTTTAATTTATTATTATTTATTTTAAATATTTATTTTTATAATAATGAAAAACAACGTTATTGTCAACAAAGTTTTGAGACACAATTTTTTTATAACAGTTCGCGCTGGTATTACAATGACACCAAACTTACTCTTACAGGA